TATTATGTGGAAGAAAACACTGCTCAATATTGCGTGTGTTAATATTGACTTTATTGGTTGCTTATCATCAATGTCTCACGAGGACTGAGGTCACATAACAACAACGCGATTAATTATTATGGCTACTGGGTACGAAACTAATATTAATTTGTTTGTTTACTTATAAAAAAATACAGACATACATGAGACACAGTTTTCTTAACATATTGTAATTATAATTGTGCTGTCTTAAGGAAATAATGTTATGAGATTTTTTTTTTGGGGAAAAAAAAAAAAAAAAAAAAAAAAAAAAAAAAAAAAAAAAAAAAAAAAAAAAAAAAAGCCCGGCGGGCCGGGGGGTTGGGGGGGGGGGGGGGGGGGGGGCCGGGGCGGCGGCAGGGCACCCGAAAGGGGGGGGAAAAAAAAAAAAAAATTTTAAAAAAAGTTTAATAAGAAAATCGGGTTTTAAACCGTAAAAGTGTTTTATTTGAAGTATAACCGTGTATAGTTCAACCTATTTCTAGATGATATTACGAGATTTTAGTACGAATTTGCATCGAATCTTTATTAATAACACTAGCTGTGTCAGCGACTTCGTCCGCGAGAATCGTTGGTTTGGGTTATTCGAATTCGTTTTTGCTAACCTTTAAAACTTAAGCTGTTACCCACGACGTCGGTCGCGTCCGTTCCCATAGTTCTTACAAGTTAATCTTAAAAGTTTGATATATAGCCTAGCAGACTTGTTTGTTATTGATGTTTTATAGCCTAAATAAAGCGTTCCTCGATAAATGTTCTAATTAACACATTTTTTTTTCCATTCGAACCCGTATTTCCTAGGATTAACGCGTTCAAACATACAAAGCTTTATGTATTAGTCAAGATGTGTTCTATTACGAGACACCGATACTTACACCAAACGGAATCATAAAGAACTAGTAGCGCATGTTATATTTAATCCTGAAGGCAAGACAGAAAAACACAGTCATGCATTTATAATAATATTATTATGGATTGGAGCTTGAGAATTTGCAATACACATCTCCCGAGAGAGGGTGAAAGGCAATCGTGTATAAGATTGTTATTAGCTCTATGTAAGTTATTGCAAGTGAAATGTTTCGACAAATACGAGTAACGTTCTTTAAAAGGAATAAAAATATAAATCAAATTCATCATAATTAGTGTTTAAATTATTATCATTAAATTTATTTCATATAAATTCAATCACATTATATTGAATATAATTTAGTTTGTTTAATATTTTTTTATAATTATTGTTGTGTTACAGTTCTAAGTAAAAGTCGATGAATATTTAAAAACTTTATTATTTTAAGGCTATATATAGTTCAAAATTCGAAAATAAATTGAAAAAAATTTCACTTCGCGCAGAACTTGAACCGGCATCGTCTGCGTTCCGTGCTGTTATTTAATTGACCTACCGAGTCATATTATTAGAATACTACGTTAATTGTTTTAATATTTTTGTAAAATACGATTTAGCCACATACTGGTATACCTGCTAAATTAGACAAGTTGTCTTCTGTGGGCGGTTCGTATGATGAATTCAAACGAAACGCCTGGCGTGTCAGCGTCAAATACAAATATAAGTGTAAAATTGTAATATAAATAATTTTCATTCATTAAAGAATAGAATTTTGCAAGAAGATATAATTTGAAACTGAAAGAAGTCTGAATAAAGTTATCGGGATCACCGATTACTTACAAATCTGTTTGGAACGCCACCTTACCTCGAAATTAATGTTCCGAACTTACCAACTATCGGAGAGAAAAAGCGCCAATAATTCCGAAGGTAAAAATTGTACGTAAGACCAAGCTCGCGAAGTCGAAACAACTTTCCACCAACAACTATTTATTTATCGTACCCAAAGGCTTTCCGACTTCCTGCCTCCCGTGCACACTCATAATGAATTCTATCTCTATTAGACTAAGGTAGTGATTAGTTTGCATCGCGAAATCGCAGCTAAGTTCTCGACTCTCGCCTTCCACAGAAGTTAGCTAAAACACAAATAAACATATTTCGCCAAATGAAGGTAGCGTCGTTAACGCCCGCGATCTATAAATATTCATTGTTTAATGAAACTTTCTTTCGGAAAAACTTTTCATCTCGAATAGTTCTCGTTAAAATGTCATCGTCGAATTGATTAATCATTTATTTAGATTAGATAATTGAATACCAAAGTTGGAATACTTTGTGAATCATTCGCTTCGAGAACTCGAGATGAACCGAACAAATTAAATTTCGAAATAATATAGTATGCTCGCACCCAGCGAGCTGGTAAATTGAATTTATTATCTATTTTAATATAGGCCAGGTAAAATGAAAAGCAAACAACAAACACAAAACACAACGCAGAACTAGTTGGTGTCGATTTAGGAAATTACATAGATCCCGAAAAATTTTCTTGTTCATGGTTTAGTTTTAATTTTTTTCTAATATGCGAGTGGTCTTAAGATTGAGTTGTGAAAAATAATTATTCAAAAAATAAATTGTGTAAGGCTTTCACGGCCATCGTTCAGCATATCATCATTCGATCGAGGAACTTAACATCTTCTGATAATGACGTCCGTCGTGATGGCTAAACGTCGAGAACCTTTTCTCGATTATGTCGGCCGAACAGCCCGAAAAACAATGATATGCTGCAATTATTAAAATATTACCAAATAGGAGAATTATATTGAGCAATGTACAAACACTTTTATGTTTTGCATAAATGTTATATTTAGTGTGTATATATTGTTAGTTATAGTTAGTTTATATTAAGTGAGGTGTATAAAATATTTTAAAATTTGACTAACATCAGAAGAACTACAATATATAATAGATCTAAGATACTGTTTCTCAGTTGCCACGCCCACTCCGAGACAACCGTCGACTGTGTTTGATAAACTGCTGGATTATGGGGTCAAGTTTGTTACCTTGGGTGTTTGTGACAAAACTTATAAACAACTTTTTCCTTTTTACCAGCTTACATGAAACTTGTTCGTTATAATATATATTAAGTTATGCACTCAGGTAGATAGCATGCTTTCAAATTTTGTCAAAACATCATAAAGTATTTTTTTTCTTATGATTTGGATTTAGAGTTAGCAAATGGTTACAATAATATTTAGGACGACAGCTCATCTTGTTTAGATGTTATATCGCTGCAGTATTTTACCTACTATCATGTAAAGCCTCTTTCTCCGTCCTTCTCTGGCCCTGTAAGCTATTAGTCATAAGTTCGATTCCCGTCGGTACCGTTGGTTTTTTTATCGTTGAAAAACACATTCTATTTGAACGACTAGAAGATTGTATCGCGTCAGATGAAGAACTATATATCTACCTGTCAGTTTAAACTACGAAGTAATGCATACAATGTTTCATCCCCTTTCCACGTATTATGAGCAAAAGAGATGCATGAATAGCACCTGGTTATCATTAAACTCGAGTTAGATCCGCGACACTACAAAAACCTCCCGTATTGTATTCGAATCGTCGAGATTTATCGCGTAATCGCTTTTGAATTACTGCCGTGCGACGGACGTCGCTCTGTGCCCTGCGGTTGGAGAGATTCGTACACATCTTGTGTCTTGAAGATTACTTGCTAAGTAGTAACACTATAATAAGTCAGGCGCATAGTTACAAATATTAATCTTATAAATCTCCCTCAAATATTTAAAATTGCCTTCGTAAACTACACAATGTTTTCATTTTGAGGTGGAGGATGGACTTTGACGAGACCCCGTGACCACGGTTGCAGAGCATCCGAAACGTCAAAAACTTCAATTAAATTAAAAATAATTTAAGTACTACATTTCACGTTTTAAAACCTTTAAAGTGTTTTTTTATAAAATTGGCCAAATATTTTTTTAATAACAGTTATTTATAAATGTAAATCTGGAACATTTTCTTTCACTCATTTCACTTAACAAATCACATTATTTATTTACTACCCGTATCAGTGACTTCGTCCGCGAGAATCGTTACTTTTTTAGAATGAAATTGGATTAATATGTATTGCTTTATTTTAGGTTGTGTCTACTTCTAGATGTACTATAACCATTAAGCTATTGTAATGCCACAAATGATATACCAGTGATAGTAAGTGGCGTTAAGTAGAGCTGTATGCAAGTGAGCGAGGCGCTGCGAGTCGTGACACACCTCAGCCAGTTGCATCTAATGCGATACGGTGTGTAGGGTGACCATATACGGGGAGAACTTAGGATAGGTGTTAAGTTTTACATATCGACAATATATGAGGCTGCTAGGTGCAGAGGGGCCTTATAACAAAAAAACAATGATTTTCAATAAGGAGGAAAATAAAAATACGCAATTAATTAGGCAAAAAAATAATTTGTACAATTGTTTGCGTAAAAATTATGTAAAAACCATCTTCGTGCACTGTGTGTGTATATGAACATTTCTAGACTGTATAAAAAATAAATAACTTAAGTCATAAAATTGCAGTTAGGCTACTCTGCCTCTAGCGGCCTCATATATTTCATATCGGTTAAATCAAGTAAACCTTTAAAACGCGTAATTAATCAGATAGTTGACATTTAAAAAAACCTTTATCCTGTCGTACAATTTTTTTTCTTTGAGATAAAACTAATGTATAATCCATTCTAACAAACTTTTACAATTAATTAATTTGAAAGATTGGTAAGACAACCTCGTATTAAAATATATGATGCAAATAAGAATACTTGGTTATCTGGTTTTTAACTATTGTTCTAAGTTAATCATAACTCATGGTCACCCCCTTTTCTAGTCTAGACTGTTCTGAAGCAGTTTTGTGTTTACGACATTACATGTTGTGAGCGGAATTTCGTCACAACAGTACCTACGACTAAAACACTCTATTTAATATTTAAGTACCAGCTTTGGGGTGCGATGTGAAACAAACAAGACATCGCAGCGAGCACTTTACTATTTTGTGTGGAATACATCTTTTAAAGTCGAAGCACTCTCTACGGAATGTAAGTTTTAAGATTTTTCATATTCTCTATATTGTATGTTGAAAATGCACTTTTCGATCATTGACGTAGGTCATGGGGCAAGGGATGGAGTCGTTCTGGTGAGAAAGGTCGGAATAAATTGTGTAAAGTGTCAAACACCATCAACTGCCGCACCTGAGGGAACTAGCAAGTTTCGACGGCTACTACAGCGGAATAATTCACGAGCTGAAGCGGGTAAGAGGCGATTCTCTGAAGAAAATGTTAAATGCTAGTGGACTAATGCTTTTTTTTCATTTTATGATTTTTTTTAATACGTTTTACAGCACAATTCCAGTATATGTAAATAAGTAAATTTATATATATTTAAGTTTCGTAGTTTATCTTTATAGTAACTTGTTAGCTTGTTCCCCTCGGCACTGAAATCTGATGTTTTACCACTTCACTCTAATCTCTTAGCTGGATTTGCCATTTCACAAGTACTCTTCTTTATTATTGATTCATCTAAAACACTTTAACGTTAAAGTGTTTTATTTATATGTGTACTCTCGCTAACTTTATTAATGATTTTATTTAAAACACATTTTTGTTAAGTAGTAATCGTAGGTATTATTGTACTTATTTATATGTGTTCAATATCATAAATATGGCGTCGCTTATTTCTTGTGCTCAATAGAACAGATTACTCGAAGATCGCCGCAAGTGGACTGGAGGCGAACAAAACTTGGTCAGCGTTACCGCTTCCTCACTTTGTAAGAAGCAATGTTTTAAATAAACTTCCGAATAACGGAATTCTATTTATTTTTATTTTGTGGTCCGGTATATTTTAATAAAATGCCTCTAATATAAAACTTATGACAAGGATGCCAAGACATATACTAAAAATTCTAATTCTAATTGTTACATACTAAAATACACGAATGAAAATGATTCGTATTAGAAATAGAAATACGATTATTTAGAAATAACACACAAAAAAGACAAAAAAAATATTTACAATTAAAACTTGCTCTACAGACACACAAATCCACAAAGTAAATACAAATTTAATTAAATACACCAATGTTGTTGCCTCTGTAGATTAAGTCATTCAGCTACGTTATAACTAATGTCCCAACACTGATATTCTGTGGCACCTTTAGAACTCTAAATCTATAATCTAAATAATGTATACTGTCTGTAAAAGTAGTAATAAAATAAATGTAGTGTAAGCGAGTAGTACACATTTAAATTCAACACTTTAAGACGCGATATTATATAACATCTTTTTTTGCAAAGCATCGGGTTGTAGGTAAGTATAATTTTCAAATACGTTAAACTAATATATATCGCGTTTTAAACCGTTAAAGTGTTTTATTTAAATAAATAATTTATCTAAAGCGATTATCCCCCAAATATACCCCAATAATATGATTTCCAATCTTGCGAATCTTTTTGTCCTTTTCCGCAAATAAATCATTCGCCCGGGAGTAGTTTCTCGTCCTGTTCGTGTAAAGATTCGTGTGTCAGGTGTATGGCGGTTTCCTTGGAACATTCATTTTGTCGATGACACCTCATCTCGCTCGGGGTCGCCCCCCGGTATCGGCTAGATTTATATCGTTGAATTTAAATTTAGAATATTTCTTTTCTATATTTTTTTGATACTATTTTATGGTAAAGCATCACAGACAAGCACGGGGTACATTTCATGGTAGGTGAAATACCCCCGCCAATTTACATCTAAACAAGATGTGCTCTCGACCTATGTTTGGTTTAATTATTGCAAATCTGCAGACTGAAACCGAAACACAATTAAAACTTAGTTATAATTTATTCCATTAAAACGATGAAGAAAACATTAAAAAGACAATATGCATAAAGAATTTAATATATCACTTAGATATTTACTGTACAATGGTAATTTTATAGAGTAACTGAGAATATTATGTGGTTTATAAAAAAAGGTTCGGTCGCTCTTAAATCTAAGTCCAAACTTTCAAAATACATCTCAAAGATATAATTTAAATGTCATATTGCCTAATTGAATATTGTGTCACGAAGAAGTAATTGCAAAGTAAACGCTAAGTTTGCTTGTTAGTGAAACCTTTGTCTCGCGTAAGACGAGTGGAACGAGCGTAGTACGCTCTTTGAGTTGCCACAGGTATGCACATAAAAAGCACAATAATGGCTCCTACCTGACAACGGCGAAGACGAAAGAAGGGGATAATTTTGTCACTCTATGTACGTTCCATTCTAGCACTTAAATTATTAAGACTACACTGATTATAATGAATTAAATTTCAAGCATTGCATAATAATATACGGATACCCGAGTAATTTACAATGTATATAAATATAGGTATATATAGTAGGATTCCTGGAATAATCTCTGCAGTTTCGCAAGTTTAAATAAAACACTCTGACGGTTAAAAAGCGATATATATTAGTTAAACTGATGAGACTTTTTTTAACTACGGTTAGGGTGCTTTCAAGTAGCCGTGGTCACGGGGAGACTAAGATGGAGGGTGTCTTTAATGTCCAAAGTAAAAACTGCTACTAGCGCTATACTCGTTAGGCCAATCTTTTTTTTTTGCGATAGAAGAGGACAGACAAGCATGAGTTCACTTGATATAACATCTAAACACGATGCGCTGTCGGCCTATTTGGACTTTGAATATTCGATTTATGAATATAAACTTCATTTACTAGCTACTTAAACACAACTAATAATCAAGAGAACCAGGGATTCATTTCAATTTCAATATGCAGAGTCCAACATATTTTAAAAATTTATTACAGTTAAAACACAGACGAAAAATATGTACAATAGGTGAAAGAAAAAACAAAATTCCGATAATCATATCACGAATTGCCGTCCATAAATGAAAAACCCGAGAAGTTAAATCACGGACTTTTTAATATGTGAAACAGGACTGTCTATCTAGTTATGATATGCATGTGTGGTAATCTACCTTCCATTGAATGAACCTCAAGGCTCAAGGCGTGTCTGTCCTTCTCTGTCAGATAAAATAACACCTTAAGGCTTAATCTATTCAAGAATGCGATGCTGAAGATCAAAGTTGAATCCCTTACTCGCAGTTAAGATCCGCGTTAATCCAGAGCACTTATAACATGATATTCAAACGACGTCTTGAAGCCTCGTTTAATATGACATTATAATTAGCCTAAGGGAACCCCTTTCGTATTAAAAAACTGTACTTAATATTGCAAACAAAAATTATAAAAGTCTTCAATTCAATTCGTTTCCCGTTAGTACTAGAGTATAAGAAAGCTATTTTATAACAAAGTCAAATGATATATAAGTAGTTATATAATGTAAAAAAATTAGTAGTTTTATTTGTATGTCTGCTTGTATGTACCATATTTCCGAAATAACTGAGCGAATCTTTGCTAGCTTGGAACAATAACTTTTCACTACAAATTATTAATTAATTACTATTTCCTATTTTTCTATTATTATTAACTATTATTTATTACTATTGTTTCTTGAGGTGTTAGGCGAGGTATTCTTTGCTACATATTAAAGTTCTGTGATTTAAACCTTGAAGATTTTAGGTAGCGCAATTAAGCGTACCTAATCTTATAGTAGGTCTTAAGTCGTGAGGTTAATAAATCCAAAACAATAAAATTAAGTATTTACGTCATGTTATTTAATTTTATGTTTCATTTTACAGACTGCTTTCATTTATGAGTGAAGAATGTTGTCAGAAAGTCATGTGATTTTTGTGTTAAAATTTATGTTAATACCAACTTTGGTGTTGATCTGTGAGAACATATATAATGCTTATACCCGACCTCTAGTTTTAACAAAAAACGGGTGGGTTCGAGGTGTGAAATCCCGGGATGGTGACTACGACATGTTTCTGGGAATACCTTACGGGAGAGTGAAACAAGACAATCCTTTCGGGGTGAGTTTTATACGTAACGCTATTAGGTCAAGTTCAGAGAGAAAATATATACAAATCAATTGATATCGTTTTGTATAAGCAAATATTCGTTTACCATAAGTGAACATGGGGTACGTTATTTATTTATCTGTTTCACCCATCGTTTTCTTGAGGTTTTCATCGTTTGAATTTAAGACTTGACTTGTATTTAAGTTTAAACTTATTTTAGTCAGCCTAGGTACTGCTTTTGAAAGGTCATAACGAAGTAATAACTATTAATATAAATATCATCTTTTTGTGTTCATCAATTATATGTGTCGATATACCTGCAAAGACTTCATAGATTATATTTAGAGAGAAATTGGTTATCAAATGTATTTTGTCAATCGAACGCATTTTACAACTAAGGCACGGCCGTTATATAGTCGTACAAGAAATAGGCAGTTTTTAATTCATTATTCTTTTATAGGATGCCGAGCCTTTTGGGAAGTACGATGGGGTTTTCGAAGCCATTGACAATTCTAAGATTTGTCCCCAACTCGACGAACTGTCAAAGACGTTTGGTGGCACCATTGACTGCTTAAATATAAATGTTTATGTTCCTCGTTCACGAACCGGAAAACTTGCTGTGATGGTTTATATTTTTGGCGGTCAATTTCGATTTGGTTTCGCTGGGAATTTTAAAGGATATTCCATGTACGGACCACGACATTTACTGAGATATAACATAATATACATAATTTTCAATAATCGCCTTGGTCCGTACGGCTATATGTGTTTAGGAACAAGAAAAGTCCCTGGAAATGCTGGTTTGAAAGATCAGTCCCTGGCACTGAAGTGGGTAAAGGACAATATAGAAGCATTTGGGGGTGACTCAAACAAGATAACATTGTTTGGGCACAGCAGTGGAGCCGTCTCAGTGGATCTTCACATACACTATCAGCCGAGTGACTTATTTCAACAAGCAATTTTACAGAGTGGCAGCATCACGTTTAGAGGTAGCGTTGGAAACATAAACACTAGTGTACCACTAATATTAGCTGATAAATTAGGCCTATCCACGAACGATGTAGATGCTGCACTTCTATTCCTGACGAAGAAGGATCCAATCGATGTTGTAAAGGTTTCAGTGAATACAATTAAAGAATATAATCCCTGTGTGGAACAAAAAATACAAGGCGTAAGACATATGATAACACATGATCCTAAAAGACTTGTTCCTAAGGTTGAGAAGCGAAAAATTATGATCGGACACACGAGAGAAGAATCCAACATGCTATATGCTAAGATTCCTAAAGAATACTTTGACAATAACGATGTATTTAAATACGTTATTCCACTAACGTTTGATCTAAATCAAACACAGCTAAATTTAGCTCTGTCTGAAGTAAAGCACTTTTATATAGGAGACAATTTGGTTAGTGGACAGTTTAAGGAAAATATAGTGAACTTTACGTCTGATATCATATGTAATTACCCGTTGCATAGACAAATGGATCGATTTTTAAATCATAAAGTCATACAGGTATAGTTTTCTTTCTTATTTATCACGTTATGTTTTATACTGAACATTCCGTAACCACTAATGCAAGAACAATTGTCTGTTTTTGAAATGTTCGTGATAGTTTAAAATACAATTTTTTAAGTAACCGAATTGCAACTCATTCAATAACCTTTCAATGTTGATCACTAACTAGCTAAATCTGTTAGGTTTTTCGTCCTTAATAATAATAAAGGCGCGTTCTACTATGTATATGGGGATATGTTTATGATAAAATGGCGATTGACGTGCAATCCACAATAAACATTGTTCTATGGACAAGACAAGACATGTTAAATAAAACCTTATTTATATTTAGTGACAATTTTTCACAATTACAGGTATATTATTACGTTTTTACCTATTGCGGCGGACGAAACTTGCACAAAGTTGTCAACAACATTACGGCAGATGGCGCCATGCACGCAGATGAAGTGGGTTACATATACCAGCCCACTTTTTTTGAAGACACTACACAAAACGATCAGCTGATTGTCGATAAAATGACTAAAATGTGGACGAATTTTGCTAAATACGGGTATTTACTTTTGTATGTTTATCAAATAAATTGTTCCCAAGTAACTAAACGGAATAAAAACAATATTCTAGTGTTAAATTTTCTATAAATGTTTTTATCTTCATAGCTATATTCATATTTTGTAATGTAACTTATTTTTAATTTAATTCAATTTTAGAGGGAGACGTGTGTTTGTGTGTCAAACTAACATTTAATTTTTACAGAAATCCAACGCCGACACCGACAAAATTGCTGCCAGAGACATGGATTCCTATTACCGAAGAGAGTAAACCTTATCTTAGAATAGATCTAGAGACACATATGGATATAGAAATTCTGCCACGAATAGCATTTTGGGACCAGCTCTTCAAAAAATATTCGAAATATATTCGTAACTAGTTAGCTTATAAATAGTACGAAAATACTGTCGAACGTTCTTTTGCCACGTTAAAATTTAATTACCATAAGAACGGGATTATTAGTGAGTCTTATAAGATAGACATAATGGCGGACATGTTTTTAGATTATTTAAACAGGAATAATTATTTTTGTATATTTTCTCAGTATCTTAAACCGTTTTCGGAGCGCACGCAACAGAATTACTCAAAGATTCTTCGCTCCTATCGGTCGCAGCCAAATGTATAGTCTAAAGACTCGATGATTGGCCCGAGGAGCATAATAAATATTTTTTCAACTCTAGATCTAATCAGTCGTTCCTGAGATTAGCGCAAAACAAACAAAGATATAAACTCTTCAGCTTTATAATATTAGTGTAGAATAATGTCTGTTCACTGTTCACTTCGTATTTAGATATATAGGAACTTTTTCATTAAATTCCTTCCAAATAATACATTTCTCAATAAATTAAACAGGCTAATAATTATTCAACAAAAGTACGTAAAAGATATTAAAGTAAGTCTAAAAATATATTTTTAAAACGGATCAAGGTGTTGTTTAAAATATATTTGATTTTGTTGTTATTAACAATATTTCATATCATTATTGCCAATATAAAATAAGTACGTAAAAATTAACAGACATTTAGATGTTTCCCCTACATAAAGTGCATTAGAGTATATTCTTGAGGGCGGGACTCTCAAGAAATGATTGAAAATTATTCAAATTGCGAGTTAGCACTGCAATTTCTTGGATTGAGTCAACGAGCATGAAATGAATACAACAGACAGGGGCGATAATCATTTTAGTTATGCTTTGGGGGAGGATAAGTTAATATCTTCAAATCAGAAGTGAATACTATTAAGCTTGTTTTATGAAAAGTATTTCAACTACGGCCCGACGTTTTTTTTGCAGCAGTCGTGGCCGTGGTCACGGGAGGTCTCCCCGTGACCACGGCCACGTACCACGTAACCGTAGGTAAGATAATATTCAATTAAGTTTAACTAATATATATCGCGTTTAAAATTATTAAAGTGTTTTATTTACACCATTTGGGAAAAAAAAAGACAGAATTGAAAAAAAAATTCTCTAATATATTTTTTGTTTTAAAGTGTTTTTTTGTGAAACCTCCTGGAATGGACAATACCATTATATTCGTATATAAAAGAAACGTTAGAAAACCTGACTACGGCTTTCCGAAAGATAATAAAATAATACATGATAATGTTCCCCTCCCCATGAATCTCACCCTCGTATCTCACATAAATATCGATAAACGTTTTGAATGCGGCTTCGATTCCCAGTAACGTGATAAAATATTCATTAGTCGCGTGACGTCACGGCCCCTCCTAAATTCAATATGTCTCAATTTGACGGGCAGACGGACGGGATCGTCGACATTAACCTACAGATTGTGTGCAAAATAATTACTTTTTTGTTTTGCTATCTTGCTTGGAAGAAATCACCAAAGGCGAATAGGTCGCTTTTGTACTAACTGTAATGTAATACGTATTTATTTTTATTTTTTTGTGTAATAAAGTGTTTTATTATTATTATTATTTCTTTTTCAAGCGCTTTAAAAGGTCCCACATCTGGGACTAGAGCTTCCTAAAAGGGCGCATATATACTGGCCTATTTTATATTTTTAATTCTAACTCACCTGTTTTCTCACTATATTTTTCTTTACTGTACGTATCACAATACAGGCAGAGATACATATTTCGGAGTCCGGCCGAAGATCGAACCCCCAGACAATCATGTACGATCTAGGTACCACAGTAGCACCGCTTCCAGTGAACTTCAGACAGTATGTTCGTTCAAATCATGAATCAAAAGTTAGACTGCAGCCATATAAGTGTGTCGTTTAGTTGATAGTGCGAGGTTTAAGCCAAGCTTAAAAGTATTCAGACGGAGCCGGATTATGCACTAGTTATTAAATAAGTTTGCTAGGAACAATTCGTGCTATTACAAACTTCTCTAACTTCAGTGTATTAAGATATTACTAAATTACGGACAAATAAGTATTGTTTTTATATATAAAGAACCTATATATGTTTCTGTATGACTTACAGAAAGATATAGTTAGAGGCTTATTACTAAACATAAATAATAAAACATACTTTAATCTTAACAGTATAAAATAATGTCGTGTGCTGATAGTAGGTAGAAGAGGATCTTACTCAGTTTATATTAGGTTAATTGTTGACCTGAAACTGATTTTCATTTCCATGCACACAAGAAAGTTTTAAACGGTTTTATTCGACGGGTAAAAAAATATGGTTAAAAACGTCACATTTATTGGTATTTTTTCATATAAACATACAGTAGCTAAATTTCGCAAAACCAAGTAGCATTATTAAATCCATTACGATGTATACATATTCAAGTAGCTTCAAAATATTAGTATTATTCATTTCCAGGTGTAGAAAGTCAGGTTGAGTTGTCTCGTATCAATTGTGTATCATTTCTGTAGTATTTGGATATGAAACATTTTTATAGATTTTCGTATAAGCCCGTACGGGCGCGCCTTGAATGCAAAGTTGCAGACGTGAGTGTTATTGAATAAATTTTATTGCCAGCATATGTCTACTGAGCTGGCTACTCGTTACAGCTGTTCTGTCACGCTTTACATTCTGGATACGCGCCTTAAAAGATTTCTAATATTTATTTACTTTGAAATTCGACACGAGTGTATTGTTCAATTCCGACATTCGGATTAAAATAATAATATTCGGGGGTAGTTTAGTTTTTCGATACGACCGCCGAAAGGGGTCACCGCGCGCTGTCATTCGGCGGCACTCGTGCGAGAGTACTTGAATTATAATGATGTTGATATTAATGAAAACTGACTACACTAAAAAACTAACACTCTGATTTTAAAACACACTCCACTATAGAGAGTGCAGTGTGTTTTAAAATAAGTGTGGTAACGTAACTTTATACCTGATCCGTGGATGCCCTTACGATACAGACGGACACACTACAATAATCGTGTACATAAGTCAGGAGTTAACCACTGGATCGGAGGTATGTATGTTTGGTTTGAACCTTATGTTTATTGAAAGTGTGTCGCAGTTTTGTTGTTTTCTGTCTTTGTGATTCACTATTTGATATACATTATAGCTTGTTTTATTTAAAAACAGAGAAGAAAGTTTGGGAAAAAAGCAGAATATAAGATTATACATTGAGTTAACAATAACTAAATATCTTCTTAACAAAATTCTAGAGGTGGTTTGTTTTGAGGATGGGTATCAATTCATAGTTATTTTAAGACTCCCAATTCAATAACTAACTGCATTAATGCATACGTTAAATTGTTGTTATGGATTTAAAACATTTTCTATCAGTACATATTCATGCATGAATAGTACAGAGACACTATCTCCTTAACATATGAATGCTTGTCAACATCAGGTGGAAAACATTCTTGAATACAACTGATGTGATCGAACCTGTTAGCAATGTAATATGCAAATTACGAGGTACAGTCGGGTCGAGAAGCAGGGTCGTCCCCGGTCACAGATATTAAATAACTTTGAACCGGACCGCGTGGCTCCGGCTACCAACTTTCCCTTATTTATCGCTGTTTTATACAGTAGAAACTCCTAATATCATAGAATAATGCACTCGACCAATTTAGGTGCTTTTCGGGGTATTAGTTTGATTTACAATTTGTAGGGTTTGGTTGGGCTGAAGTATAAACAAAAAAAAACACAAATATATGTTTATAAGAGAGTAGAGGATAGGAGGTGTTTTTACCTCACTCCTTTAGCAAGAAAAAGATGGACTGAAATCAAAAAACTAAATTACACTTCACAGTTTTTGTCAACTAGTTATGGTTCATGAACTAAAAAGTAATTTCAATATTGCTACCACCTTTTTCAGGCTTCTAGACTTTTCTGGCGAGGTTGAAACCATTTAGATATTTCAAAAAACTTATTTACAAAAAAATTAGACTTTTAGAAATATACCATTTGGTAGTTTTCCATACGTTCCTGCACATACAACTGCCTCAAATAATAAAATGTAGAGGTTGAGAAAAAAAAAAATAAGACATGTGTATATAATAATAATAATAAATCTAATAAGAACAATAGTAGAAAAAAATAAATGTAATAACAATAAAATAAATAATACAAAGAGATTAAATTAGTCACTATTGCAATTATCGGCGTGAATAGGAGGGTGAAAGTCATGCTCTCCGCGGCAAACTGTTCTGATAGTTTAATAAAAATGATTTCTGGAATTGTTTTAAAGGAAATATATAAATGTATTATTCTTATTATTGGACGGGTTCCTTAGTTGCTACCACGGCTAATCAAATGTAAGTTCAATTCTCACCTGAAATAACATATTTCTAAAAAAATTATAATTTTTCTGTAACGTGTTGGATGCCATCTGGAAACTCGGATATTAAATGGATGATAACCACCGTCCACAGATGATAATTAGTGATGCTAAATCGCGTTTCGGTTTCAGTAGAGATGTTATATGTATCCATCAAGTGTAATGCTTGTCTGCCATCTATCTTTAAAAATTGTCAATAGCTCGCGTAACAATCAAACTGACAAAAGTATAACACACACAAATATCGTTGGCTCTGACTTTATTATGTGTTTGAAACTGTGATTTAGCATAGAGTCTAGACTCTAGTCGAATTTACTGCGTTGTGACGAAACAAAAACTGAATGGAGCACACCTGCTCTGACGCTCAACTTAAAGACATCTACATATTCATGCGGTGGAGTTCGTAATGCACTTGATAGCAGGTGAGGTTAACTAGTCACCGGGATCGTGAAACATTCTAAATGACACAAAAATCAAAATTAGTCTGTCTAGACAACATTATGGATTAAGATTTTGTGTTATGCTCGTCAGATTTTATAACATTGTAAAGAGATTATAAGAGCCATTTAAACCAGCCAAGAGTGGGTCGGAGTCACGAACGTAGGGTTCCGTTAGCATTAATTTTATATATTGTCACCTTTTAATTTAGTTACAAC